GACGACGACGACGACGACGACGATGACGATGACGATGACGGTGACGATGACGATGATGGTGACGAAGACAACAACGATGACAATGATGATGAGGCTGATAAGGATAGCAGCAACAGCGGCAAAAGCAGTAACATCAGTAGTACATAAGTATCAGTGCCAACTTTAGATTGAACTTAGTAGGTTTTTTTTTTCTTAGGACATAGCTTGTGAAGACAAAAAATGCATGATATTTGACAGCTTTGCAAAATTAACCCTTTAATGAAGACTTCTTTTTTTAGGATTTGGGGATGGCAGAGGTGACGGGAGTTGGAAAGGGAGGAGATGAAGAACTTTGCTCGCTATCCGTGTTATTTGATTAACATCTATTGCTCGTTTATTTGCCTCTGAAGTAATATAATGTGTTGATATAAGCATTGTTTTATAGCACATCTTTTTGTTTTCTGTTCTTTTTTTTTTTCACTTTATCTACAGTGACCTTATATGATTAATTTGATTAAACTTCACACTTATTATTCAAATAATCAGACTAGAATCAGACCAATTAAATGTCAAAAAAAAAGAAAGGAAACAAAGAAAGCATCAAAACAATTTTCATTGCTATAATTTATGTCTTATTTATTAGACATTTATTTCTTTCAGTTCTTCTTTTCTTTTCTTTCTTTTTTTTGTTAATTAATAAAAAAAATAAATTTTAAATTTCATTAGTGTATTTATCAACTTAATAATTCAATTACTCACTTTAATTGCATACCCCATTAACGGACTTTTTAAGAACAACTATATTGTCGATTATATTATAATATGATAGGTTAGAAAAACTAACCAGTCCAGTTATCTGATACAAAAATACACTCATCGTTACTTCAATTGTATTTCTGGGATGTGCAACAGGTCGTGTTCCTTTACGATAACGTTGCAACAAATGATCATGCAGTCGATAGGTTAACGGAATTTCTTCTTCATCACGTAACGATCGTAAATTTCGACGATTACCATCATATTCAGTTCTACTGCTATCATAATTTTCCTTTTTCATAGACAAATAATCATCAGCTACCGAATCCATGTAACTTGTTGTTTCCTCATAGTCGGTCATCGGATTACAGTAGATCAGTTCCACAGCAATTAAACAGACAAAAATTATTGAATAAAAATATTGTAATACAGGACCCGTAATGAATGTAAAATTGAGCATATAGAACGATGAATACAGTGTGTGTTAATGGGAACACCAACAACAGAACTGAGTACCAACGGGGAAACACAGCCAAATGCCTTATTTGAAACAGAATAACACCAATAACAACAATACACTAAGATCAATGGCTGAATGCGAATTTGGCTTCAAACTTGAAGCCAAGCTGCATATTTATATTGTTTTGCTGCGGACAAACTAAATCGCCATTCTTCCCCTCCTCCCCTCTCCCTGTTTTCGCTTCTCCCCTTTCCGTCCCCC